ATCTTTCTAACAAACGTGACTTAACATAAGCTTACCCCTTCCATTTATCTTTCTTTTTCTCTTTCCTTTTCTTTCTCTCTTCTCCCTTTTTCTGTTCATTGTCTTCTCCTACGCTCCCTTGCTATCCTCTTCTTATTCCTATTACTATCTCCTTCGGTGGTTATAATAGGAGCTGCCTCGTATGGGCCAATAGGCCTTCTGCAGTTCTCATTATTACTACTATCCCCTACACCTTACTTTCCTCCTCAGCTCTCTCTTGCCTATTTATTGCCTGTCCCTACCTCCTCATCACAATCGACTTGAGAATGGTCCAGGACGGACCGAAACGTCGTCGTCCCTTCAACTTCTAGTGTGTGGTCTGGTCAACATACTTCAGCCACGTTATTGTGACTCATCGCCTGCATATGGATACCACACGTACGCGTCTTACTCTGTTTAATTTCTTCGATGCTCTACCTTCCTTCAAACGGCCTTTTCGCGCCTTTGAATCTTCCCTTCTTGCCGCCAAGCGTCGAAAGAACCAGCTCAGGTTTCTTAAAGACTGTCTTGCTGAGCAAGTTCTCCCTCTTTCTTTATCTCACTTTCTCCAGTTCAACACTTCGGGATCTCCTTTCCCTGAACATGCCCGCCTTCTTCTTCAAGAACTTATTCATGCCACCTCCTTGCAAGTTGACGAGGCTTTTCTTGCTGTTCGTCAACAGCAACGCTTTCTGTCCTCTTCTCTTCCCAGTGATCTATGCAATATCATTTTTCCAATTGCATTTGACACTGCTCACGTCTCCTCTTCCCACCACTCCTCCACACTACACAACAAACTTCAACGCCTGATCTCCAACAGTCCTTGGGCCAAATACTCTCTCTCTGACTGTGTTACCAACCTTTCGTCCTACTCTCTTTCTAAGCACCAGCAAGAACTTCTTGGTCTTGGTCTGTCTTTTGCTACTTCCCCTGGCCCACGCTGTGGCATTGATCTCATTAGTTCCTTTGACAGGTTTGTCAATTCTAACTCTAGTACTCTTTCGGACCTGTCTGCCTTTAGAGGGGCCCTTATCCCCGTTCTTGACAGCTTGTTTTCTAAAAATCACCACCTTCCTCGTCGCTTCCAGCTTGCCCTTGCCTCCCTAAAATCTAACAACTCTATTCTTATCCTTCCTTCCGACAAAGGCAATTCGGTGGTTGTCCTTGACCGTGAGGACTACCTCCGAAAAGCAGATGTCTTGCTCTCTGACTCTCGCACTTATGCTCCTCTGACTTCTAACCCTTTGGATCGCCTCAAAACTTCCTTTAACCGCAAACTAAGACAGCTCTCTAGTCTTTGCCCTCCTGACTTTGATCTCATTAAACGTTTCCGTGTCATCTGCCCTTCTCTTCCTTATTTCTATGGTCTTCCTAAGACTCATAAACCTGGTGTTCCTCTTCGTCCTATCATTTCTTCACGGGGCTCTGTCAGCTATCCTCTTGCCTCCTGGCTCGCTAAAACCCTGACACCTTACCTTGGCACTTTTTCCCCTGCCCACCTTCGTCACTCTCAGGACTTCATAGAAAGACTGCGCCTGCAACCCTCTTGTAAGATGCTTAGTCTTGATGTCGACTCTCTGTTCACTAATGTTCCGCTCGATGACGTTCTCTCTTTCCTTAGACAGAAGGCGTCAGAGGGCCTCCTTCCTCTCCCACTTCCCACTGACGTTTTCCTCGATCTCATTAGACTCTGTGTTGAATCTAACTCTTTCTCTTTCAACGGTAAATATTACACTCAAACTTTCGGTGTCGCTATGGGTTCCCCTCTCTCCCCTGTTCTTGCTAATTTCTACATGGAATACTTCGAAACTGTTCTTCTTCCTTCTATTGATACTCGTCCCTCTCTCTGGCTTCGCTATGTTGATGACATTTTTGCTTTATGGCCTCATGACCTTAATCTTTTCCAGCCTTTCCTCGCCTCTCTTAACAATCTGGCTCCTTCTATCCATTTCAAAGTTGAGTGGGAATCTAATTCCCTCCTTCCTTTTCTTGATGTTCATGTTCACAGCTCTGTGTCTGGGTTCTCTTTCTCTGTCTACCGTAAACCCATGCATAGTGGCATGTACATTCACTTCTTTTCCTACCATCCTCCTTCTGTTAAGAAAAGTGTCCTCGTCTCTCTCTTCCTCCGCGCTCTACGCATCAGCGACCCTCAGTTTCTTGATTCTGAAATTGCCTTTATCTACAAATCATTCTCTCGCCTTGGTTATCCTTTGCATTTCATCAACTGTGCCTACTCTCAAGCTAAACGAAATTTCTTTCATCCTAAACCTGCTTCCAACACTAGTAGCACTGTACTATGCCTTCCCTTCATATCTGAACTCAAAACTTTTACCAATACCTTTCGTCCTCTTGACATTAAACTCGCCTTTCGACAAACTAACACACTTCGTAGCAATCTAGTTCACACTGCTCCTCCTGCTTCTAATGCTGCTGGTGTCTACTCTATTTCCTGTTCATCTTGTCCTCTCCAATACTTTGGCGAAACTGGCCGTACACTGAATGACAGACTTAAAGAACACAAGAGAAGTGTTAAGTCTGCAGACACTAACAATGCTCTCTTCTGCCATGTGAGGGATTCTAATCATCCCATTGATTGGTCTTCCTCCAAAATAATCTTTCCTGCCTCTACTCTACACAGACGCCGTCTTGTAGAATCGGCTCTTATACACAATGTACCCAACATGAACTTGAGTCCTGGCTTTGTTGCTGTGGACTCTTCCCTTTCACAGTATATACTCAAATGCTCTAATCTTTCTAACAAACGTGACTTAACATAAGCTTACCCCTTCCATTTATCTTTCTTTTTCTCTTTCCTTTTCTTTCTCTCTTCTCAATTTTTCTGTGCATTGTCTTCTCCTACGCTCCCTTGCTATCCTCTTCTGTTTTTTCCTATTACTATCTCCTTCGGTGGTTATAATAGGAGCTGCCTCGTATGGGCCAATAGGCCTTCTGCAGTTCTCATTATTACTACTATCCCCTACACCTTACTTTCCTCCTCAGCTCTCTCTTGCCTATTTATTGCCTGTCCCTACCTGTCCTCATCACAATCGACTTGAGAATGGTCCAGGACGGACCGAAACGTCGTCGTCCCTTCAACTTCTAGTGTGTGGTCTGGTCAACATACTTCAGCCACGTTATTGTGACTCATCGCGTAGCGGTCAAGGCGGTGTCCATCACTCTCACTACAGATTCTGCTGCTCAACTGTTGTTTCTATTCCGAATCTCCATGGATATTTGAATCCAAGACGGATTCTTGCTATTACTGATTACCAATTCCTGTGGCCAATTCCTCTTTGCCAATAATGATTGTGATTGCCAGCTGAAACCATATTATACCAGGGTACAGATTCACTAATTTGTTCTTCTATCCTCCATTCATCAGTTACCTTGTCACGGTGATGTTGCATAATAATACCTCTAATTTGTAGAAGATTGTTGGGTATGAAGTATTCAATAGGATTTCCTTCAGTGCCTTCAGTAGCTAGCACATCTGCTCGTTCATTTCCACACATTCCAACATGGGAGGGGATCCACACAAATTTCAAGACTCTTCCCTGATTAGATTGTACACTCACAGTTCTCTTGATTTCAGCGATATCCCAAGATTTTCTGCCCGATTTTTACTAAGGCTTTGTAGTGCAGCTTTTGAATTAGAGCAGATCATTGCACCTTTAGTGTTTCGTTCAAGGAATCTTAACGCCATAACAATGACAGCTCTGCTTGCGTTGAAGAGGCATAGTTCTCAATACGTGCTTTTTCTTCATTTCCGTATTGAGAGGTATTGTTCCTAATTACAATGTATGCTGCAGCAGCCCTGCCATTGATAGGCTTAGATGACCCACTGGTGTAGAATTGATCTAATTAATTTCTGGCTTCTTTATAAAAAAAATCAAGATACTTGTGACTCATTTCTTGTGGTATCATGTTGGACTTTTTCGTTGTCATCTCATTGATGATAATCTTGCATGAGTCATCCTCTCAGGGAGGTAACCTCTCTACAGGCAAGAGATCACGGGCTTGCTCAAGCAGGTGAAGTTCTTCCAGGTAGCAGACTGATCTATGATGTTTTTTTTTTTTTTTTTTTTTTTTTTTTTTTTTTTGCTATTGCTGTTTCCTGCTGTAAGTAGCACAGAACTCAGTTTTTTCTTGGCAATTTCATTGTAATGGGGATCTCTGGTTATCTTAATTGCAAACTTAACATTCAGTTCCTTAATTCAGCTTCTCTTTCAATAACCTCCTCCTTACATCCCTCTCTCCATTCTGTTATCTCCCACTTCTCCCTTTCTCCCAATCTCCCTCAATTCCATTTTCTTTACCTCTCTTTTTTCTGTTCTCTCTCTTCCCGACAGTCTCCCTCTCTCCCCTTCTTTTTCTCTCTATCTCTTTCTCTTCTGTTCTCTGTCTATTTTTCTATGCCCCATTCTCACCCCTCCTGTCCTCCCTCCATTCCATTGTTTCCACTTCTCTCCTCACTGTTAGCTCCCTCTTCCACTCCCTTCTTCTGTTTTTTCTCTCTCTTGTTCTCTCTTCCTTTATCTACCCATTCTCTCTTCCTTTATTCCTCCCATTCTCTCTTCCTTTATCTACCCATTCTCTCGATCCTTCCAGTTCTCACCTTATTCCTCCCATTATCTTTCCCAGTGACTAAACAAGCTCAAGTAATGTAGTATCAACGTTATCGTCGATGACTCATCATCGGTAACAGCCAGAAAATCTGATGAAATCACTCTATGGATAATAAACCTCCCTTTCAGGCGTCAGAGGCGTGGCTGGTATTCGCAATAAGAGAAGATCCTTCTTAAAGAGTTGCACGCGGGTTTGGTCCCAAACACCGTATAACACTCGCCCTACAATCATACATCACCCTGCAAGACTTCCGTAAGGCTAGCCTCAAGCGTCTCGCCTGCAGCCCTGGACAGACATAACAGACATTTTCACTTATAGATATAAATTGCTGATGGAAACCCTTCTCCCCTCAGGAGGTGAGTACTCAACACTGATGCTAGCGGGGAAGGCAGTAGAGGCAGTCTTGTCTCGGGTGATCAGTGCCAAGTGTTCCATCCAGCTCTTCACTGACGGTGGCACACCCGCTGCTGATGTCTACAAGGTAAGCGTTGACGAGTTAAATAATTAATCTAAACACATAAATATTTGCATATACCTAATTAAGAAAATAAATATTTGCACATTTAAATACAATATTGAACATAATTCGTATAAATATCATATTTTATAAGTTAATCCTTAAGCTGCAGTTTTCAGTATGAGTGCACAAATCTAGTAGTTGGTGTTTATGAGTGCTCTTAATTTGGATCAATGAAAACCAAGTCTGCTAGAATATGATCTGATTGACTCAGGTCTCTAAGAAGAAGGCTGCCATATTATGTTAAATAATCCAGTCCGTCAGAGCTCACTCAAAAATCACACTATGAAGAGAACATTTCAACCACCGCTAATATTTCCCAGATACTGGGACCAGAGATGATCTTAAATAAATAACAATATTCATAGTACATAACATCGCAAGAAAATAACATCCCAAATCAATATAGACGACTACCTCTCATTCAGCAATTTCGAGTCTTTGTAGTCCCACTCAAATTATAGCACCAATAATGTTTTAATTAATATGCTTAACTTGATAGATGCAACTCTGTACAAACAAATGCCCCATAGAGGTATTTGTTGTATAGAGCTGTAATACATCACACTTATACAAAGCTTGATAATATATATATATAAACCCTGATAAAATATAAATCCTGATAAAAGCCTTATATAAAGCCTGATAAAACCCTTCTATAAAGCCTGATAAAATATGAAGCCAGGTAAACAAATACCCCATAGGCATATTTGTTTACCTGTGTAAGACCTTTCACACAGTTAACCACAATAATAACTTCATCTCAAACTGCACCACAATGAAATAAGCGGTCGCTTCCTTTAATACTTTCGATCTTACCTCAGTTACAGGCACCAGGTTGTATCTGTGTGTGTGTGTGTGTGTGTGTGTGTGTGTGTGTGTGTGTGTGTGTGTGTGTGTGTGTGTGTGTGTGTGTGTGTGTGTACTCACCTAGTTGTACTCACCTAGTTGTGTCTGCAGGATCGAGCATTGACTCTTGGATCCCGCCTTTCGAGCCTCGGTTGTTTACAGCAATGACTCCCGTCCCATTTCCCTATCATACCTAGTTTTAAAATTATGAATAGTATTTGCTTCCACAACCTGTTCCTGAAGTGCATTCCATTTTTCCACTACTCTCACGCTAAAAGAAAACTTCCTAACATCTCTGTGACTCATCTGAGTTTCCAGCTTCCATCCATGTCCCTTCGTTCTGTTACTATTCCGTGTGAACATTTCGTATATGTCCACTCTGTCAATCTGTGTGTGTGTGTGTGTTTGTGTATGTGTAGTGAGAACATACAGGCAAGCAATAATACTCGTGCTGTGTGTGGGAGGCCCGAGTGTAAAACTGGTTGTGCTTGACGGGGCCTGGATGGCCAACCCTAGAGAACGCTGTCGTGACTCTGGCTGTCCTGAGCTGTGGACTCCTGTGGTCACTGGTCCTGCCCGCATCCCCTCCTTCCTCCCTTCCCCCTGCCTTCCCATCTCTTTGTCTCTCTTTTTATCTGTTTTTGTGCCTCTCCTCTTCTTTATCTCTCTTCATTTATGTGTCTGACTCTCTGTCTATCAGTCTCTCAGTTCTTTTCTGTCTCTCCATCTTTCTTATTTGTTGTCTATCTAATTTGTCTGCCTGCCTCTGTGTGTGTGTCTGACTGCCTGTCTAATTTGTTTCGCTGTGCGTCTGGTTGTCTATCTGCCACTCCCTCTCCCTCTCTTTTTTTTTAAATCTAACACTAGGGTTCATTAGGGCTGTCGACTAAAATACCTAGGGAAACTGCAAGCAAGAGCTGGAATCCTACATCAGTTCATCTGAAGCCTGCTCCTAGAGACCCCATTCATTTCATGAGCCTATTATATGAATCCCCGGGAATTACCTTTATTTATCTCTTAACTAACAATCATATAAGGAACAGGATGAGTCAGTAGCCAACTGTGTGCCAGAGCTTTCATGTGATCAGTTGACCTGGAACCAGATTCACGAAGCAGTTACACAGACACTTACGAACCTGTACATCTTTTCTCAATCTTTGGCGGTTTTGTTTACGATTATTTAACAGTCCATGAGCTCCGAAGCACCAGGAGGCTGTTTATAACAATAATAACAGTTGATTGGTAAGTTTTCATGCTTGTAAATTGTTTAATACATGTAATCAAAGCCGTCAGAGATTGAGGAAAGATGCACACGTTCGTAAGAACATCCGTAACTGCTTCGTGGGACTCGCTGCCGGCGCCATTGCTAGCTGGCCGCACACGGATTTGTTCCCGGAAAAACTCACGATTCTGAGCACCCATCAGCTCAATTCATCGGAGTTTTGTGAGGAAGAATACATCAATACTCCAAGACCCCAGACAATATCTTGTTTTGAAGGAAACAATTCCGATTTCGTCTACAACTGATGGAGAAACAACGTTGTTGATTACCTGCTATCCAGCTGACTGGTATTCTGCGCAACCCAGTACACAGGCGACCCAAACTCTCGTATCGCTTTTTTTTTTGAGGACCGTATCACTGGCCAGGTTACTTAGAGTCCTACCCTGAAGGGCGAGGCGATATCCCACGGGCATTGCCACAAGGGAGCACCTTAGAAGGTGTACTGAGCCTGACGGGGAAAGGTAGACCAAACAGCTCATTTAGGTGTTAGGTATCCCTGATTCCACCTGGGGGAATCATTCTACGACCTCCGTTGGAGTGGAATGAATTTCTCCAGGCCTAAGAGTGCCTCAGGCATTTGGTAGGGCAGTGATTCGGTCCTCACTACGTGGAGAGAGTCATGGGGAAGGCTAAGAGTAAGAGGAAATGGAGACAGCTTTCAGATGAGGAGGGACGGTGGACCGATGTGCAGCAGGTACCGAAGAAAACTGCTATCGAGGCTTCACCACTTGCTTCTACCAGCAAGACAGCAGACGTAATGGACCTAGAGAGGATACCAACAGTCTCACACCAGCCAGTGTCAGACACTGCTTCTCTGTCCACAACACAGCCACAGGACGACAGTATGAGACAGGAGAGGACACCACCATTCTCACACCAGACATCGCCAGCCTCTGTACATCTTCCAAAATTCAAAATAATGCAGACAGACCACTTTCCTACAGCATATGGAGTAGTAACGGCAATGGAAAAAGAACAACCTGAGCTCAAACTTTCCATCACAGTCAACCTGAAAGGAGAAATAATAACGACACCACAAGACCAACAGACTGCAAATTACTTGGAAAAGTAAGAGTCCTGCAAGGGAAACCTGTGTGCTTGGAAAAGCTGGACCCTTCAGAAAGACGCACACGAGTCGTGCTTTTGGGATACCCAATCGCCTTTCCCCTGGATCCAGTACTAGAACACAAGCAAATCCTGAATGCGGAACGATGCCGCACAAAAGTAGACAAGGCAGCGACACGTCAGGTTCTAGTGACCGTCATGGGACATGTGCCGGAAACATTCAGTTTTGGAAATTGGGGAACATACCGACAGAGACCATAAGTCCCGGAGTCCCTGCGCTTCTTCAGGTGTCAGAAATACGGCCACCATCAATCACGCTGCACCAGACAGGAGAGATGCGGAGTGTGCAGCCTGAGACATCCAACCAAAGACTGTATAGTTAAGCACAAGGCAAACCAGGCCACAACAGCCAAATGTCCAAATTGTGGAGGCAAACATCATGCCTGGAACACAACCTGCTCTGCACGGAAAGAAAAAGTGCAGACAGCTCAGGCCAGGATAAACACACAGACCAGCACTACATACACCAACACCAACGTCTGGAACACTCGTGCACAGCCACAACAGACACACACACACTCACAGAGCAAAATTTCCCGAATCTATTAATTCCAAATCAGAAAATACACAAAAGTGTTGCAGAAATACAGCAAATGCAAAAGAGCAAAAAACAATTACTTTCGGAATCAACACAACAGATATACAGTTTTACCACCGAGGTCCAGCTGAAAAACATCGTGAAGATCATGGCAGAGACCGTTATCAATTGCCTACAGATGTCGCAGAACGCCTCACAGCAACAGACTCAAGAAATACTTGTGTGATAATGGACAAGATCGTGCAGCAGACCACAGTTACACGCGACATAGACAGTCTCAGACAGGATGGAGCACAAGAGGACAACCAACGCAACATGGACATACAGACTACCAACAACAGTCAGGTAGTCAACACACCAGAACATCAACATTTACAACAGCAACTGCAAGAAGCAGTGACCACCCAAGATCAACAGAATCTTACAACACAAGAGACAGACAACAACAGCCAATGCAGTCTGATATGCAACAACACCAACAAAGACGTATTGAACAGCAGAGATATACAGGTTCCAACAACACAAGAAACAGCCACGAGCAATCAATGCAGTCCGACATGCAGCAATACCAACAATAAAGCGATGGACCACAGTTATGCACCAATTCCAACAATGTCGGGGATGACCACGAATATTCAGTGCAGTCCGATTTGCAGCGACACGACATGCGAGGTGGAGAATATAAAGGTCGATCCCGAAGAGGAGTTGTACTAGAACAGGCAACACCAACCGAAACCGTCGTCTGGCCATTACGAATACTGCAGTAGAACATACAAGGTCTTGGAAATAAAAACCACACACCTCAAGAGGCTGCAATCAGCATGAAAGCAGATATAATCGTTTTAGAAGAAACTCTTTTCCCAGCCACGAAATCCTTCAGATTAACTGGATATCGGCACTATGTTATACCGTATGAGCAGGGAAGACAAAGAGGGTTAATGACCCTAGTCAGGAACACCATACTCAGCAAGAAAATAGACCCAGTTTCATGTGGGGATGGAGTAGAGGTATTAGCAGTTACAGTGAATATGGCTAATATTGAGCTCCTCATATACTACGTTTACAAGCCCCCTAGACGTAAACTAGAAGCAGAGGCAGTGCTTGCCTTGGCCACGCAGGAAAATATAATTATTGCTGGGGATTTTAATGCTCATCATCAAGAGTTAGGTG